ATGTGTGGTAGAGACTGACCAAGGAGAGTGAATAATTGACTGATTACAAGATAAGAATGAATAGACACTGTTGAACAGAGAACAGAAAGTATTATTTTCAGAGCTGCTGTGCTCCTGTTGCCAAACGCCCTTAAAGTTCTGCGCTCTTGTTGCAAGCCAGCTAGTTCGGGATGAGTCATTTCAGTAAAGTGAGGGACCGCAAAAATCCTTACCAAGATGTGCAGAGGGGTTTTTTGAAGGGGGTGAGAGCAGAGGAAGAGGAAAGAATGTAGAGAGGAGAGACAGAAAAAACACCACAAGACTGAAAACATCCCCCATGAAAGTCCAAAAGTGTTTCAAAACATTACCGTGAAAATGGTACCATGAGGGCTGGGCGATATGGCCAAAAAATTTATCACGATAATTATCATGATAATTTTTTCATATCAGTCGATATCGATAATTATCACGATGAATGTCAAATCTTTATTCCTTTCAAGTTTAAAGCCAGATTTTTGCTCCAAAGAGAAAGTTGTAGAAACCAGACCATTAATTTTCCTTAACAAAATAAATATCTAAATAGAAAAATGAATTTCTTAGTTTCGGCATCTTCTAATGAGTGATATTGTGTCGAATCAAGAAACAGGTTTGGGTTGCCTGATAATATTAATAATAATAATATCACTTTTTGTCTCTTAGAAATGCACATTTGATAGTAGCTTGAGTTAGGATGCAGAGGTACATTTTTGTTCATTATCAAAATCAGTAACATCTGTAAAAATTGTAGCAACCTCAGTTTTATATGGTTAAATTTATTCTGACCAAGTTTTTATTTATTTATTTATTTATTACATTAAGCATTGGTCTCCAATAGTAGCATACATTTAAATCATGATAAACACAGTTAAAACCACACATACAGCACCTCAATACCATGGTAAAAATTTAACTATATGGTTTTTAGGTAGCCTATTTGTATGAAAAACAGTAGTCTAAAAACATTCAGTATAAATGCACACATGCTATATCTTAATCACAAATACATATTACAATTATACACCATTATTCTTTTAATAAAGTTCACTGTGAATATCCCAAATTTCTGCCACAATGCCATGGTGCAGTGAGTGTTACTTCAGTAAATCCATGGTAAATGATGGCGATTTGTAGATTGAAAAGCATTCTGACTGTCTCGTTGCACACAATGTTTCTCCTGTTTGGCTTTAAACTAGTTTAAATCACAGAGTCATTTGTGTTCATCGCTGAATTCAAACGCTTATGGAGATAGAATTGTTGCTTATTTCCAAATAAATAGATTACGGACAAGACGCGATTCACAAATAAATGCCAGGCAAATTTGTGGTTGTGACATAAATATATATTCGTGAATATGTTTTTTATTTGCAAATCTCATTTTATTTATTTGTGGATCATAATCTATTTATTTGGAATTAAGCAACAATTCTATCTCCATAAGCGCTTCACACTGGATCTCACAGCACTGTTTAGTGCTCGCATGTCTGAGTAAACACATCTGCTCTAGTGAGCTCGCGCCGCGCGGCAGTTTGAACTTTGATACGAGCAGATAAACGTCCGAGTGGTGCGCTTCAAATGAGTCGCGCTGTTTAGTTCAGCTTTTGGCGCATAAACATTATATCGAAAATTTATCGTGATAATTATCGAAATATCGCCCAGCCCTAGGTACCATACATCTTTTATCACTTCCTTGATGCTAATATCGAGGTATCATCTGTATGTTTACTACATGAATTCCCCCAGAGTACCATAGTGGCAAGAATAAGTTTGTGAACCCTTTGAAAATATCTGGATTTCTGAATGAATTACACATTAAATGTGTTCTGTTCTTCAGCTAAACAGTTTTATTCTTTATGAAGTTTATTGAGGACACTGAGCCATCATTCACAGGGCAGTGTGGAAAACATAAATTAACAACTAATGGGAGTCAATTAAGGAAAATAAATTGGAAGTATGGGTCGCACAGGTGCCCTGCTCTTAAAATAAAGGCATACAAAGCCTGGTTGCTGACAAATATAATGATGATGATGATGAAGAAAATTGCATACAGTTACCCATATTGTCAGTCACTATTGTATAGTAGTGTCTCAATAGCATTATTAAATAATAAAAAGGATAAACAATAGAAAAACAAGAAAAAAGAAAATAAAAAAAATTTGCCAACAAAAAATGCCAACATTTGGGTGTGATACTTAAACTTAAAATACGTTCTCTGACTATAAATCTTAATAACGTATCTTAATTTAGTCAAATAGATGTTTCTTGACAGTTTGATTATTAAAAAAAAGGCAAAAGTACTGAAATAAAATACTGAAGAAAATTATTTTTGCAGTGCATGACAAAGGAGGGGGGGTCTGAAAAATAAGAGGGCTTGGTGATGTTAGCTGGAAAAAAGTTTTTTCGCAGATGTTGATGAAAGATTATAAAAACAAACATTTTATCTTTGGAATAACATACACCAGATGAATAATTTTCAGTGAGACCAGGAATTTTATTTTTTATTTTGGTTTCATTCTGACATTAACCATAACCTACAGTGAGATATCATAGCTCTTGTGTTGATCTGTCACATAAAGAACAAAAGATGTCTGTGGGAAGAAAAAGGGGTCAAACACCAACGCCAGCAATGGGAGCTTTCAACTGGGAGTGATTATGTCTATTGTGCGAGGTGTTGCGTCATGTTTAGTGGCTGGATCTGTAGCTGGATCAGTAACATCAGTGCCTGGTGTTCAGTTGCTCCCACACTGTCCTGTCTCATCAGGCCGTTTGATTGTTATATTAAGGAGCGGGACTCCTGGACACCTGGTGTGTTCCACTATTGCCTTTTGCCATGTCCTTCATTTCAATCAGCACAATCTGAACTGAAATAGTCATGTCAGGCTAATGTGACAAGAGTCTGAGGTATATTTCTGGTCTCCCAGTAATTTGGGCAGTAAACCTGGGTCAGACATGAAGTACGCAGTATCACAATTGTCTTTAGGAGCCCGGAGTGAGGTGAGATGTTAAGTGGCATAAATGATAGAAGAAAAGGTGTGGAATGTCAGAGGGAGCAAGGCAGAGCGCCAGACGAGGCCACGGCCGTGATTCCCCTCCCTGAGGACAGTTATCACAATACAACAACCCCATCAGAAGCACCAACCTGATCCTCTGCCCACTGAAATGAGAGTCCTCTATAAATCAATGCAATCATAATAATTCCAGTAATACGGGAGCTCAAATGAGCGCTATTACAGCTCAATTGTATCATATAATGAAGGGTAGAGGCTCTGTGTGATTTTCTGGCTGTTATCTCTACATTCCTCTGCGGCAGGTCAGGAGTGTGATACTCCTCTCAGTGCCGCTGAAGCGGACAGCCGTAACCTTTGACCCCAGCACAGGCGGGTTTGGGCTGCAGGAATGTGCTGGCAGTGGGAATGGGCTGCTCCAATCTGAGCAGATCAGCACAAAGAGACTCTATGTACAGAGTGCAGAACACGACAGGCTGCTGGCTGTACAGCTTCTCACAATGTGATGATGCCAGATTGTCCTGGCCACTGCACTGCTAATAATGATTTCCTAATCAGTCTTTTTTGACATTTTCCAGCAGAAAAAAAATTAAACATGGTAAATAATTTTTTTTTATTATTAATCCATTATTTCTTGTTTGTCTTATCTTACCATTTTTATCCATCATTTAGATATTTAATGCACAGTTTAAGTAGTTTTAGTATTTTTCTTTTTTGCAGGGTGGAAGTTTAAATAATGGAATACTTCACTTAAAAATCTAAATTCCCATTTATTCACCCTCGTACCATTCTAAAGCCATTAGGAATTTATCATTTAACAAAAAAGGAGAAATGGCAAATTATGCAAATTTGGTTCAAGGTGTTATTTTCCATTCAATGAAAGCATATAGTAACCAGAGAAAGCTCTCGAATCTCATTTGCATTTCTGCAAATTCAAATTTGGTGCATCAATATTTAGTTACGAGACAAGCAAGGACCTTAATGTTATTGACCTCAAACATTGCGGAACACATCTTGATGTTCCGGGTTTGACTATGCACAGGCTTGAATATGATTCTGGAGCTACAGGGGAAGGGTTAGAAGTTATTGGTGAATTAATAAAATTTGCGTCTGTTCCACCAACAAAGCTACTGTAAAGGTGCAGTCACTATTGGTCTATTGTCAATAGAGTAGCGATGTATAAAACATAGCTTATATCAAAGTCACCTTCAAGCGAAGCAGCTTTCTGTTGGTCAGTGCAGCAAATTCACATGGCCAACATTAACATGAGCAAAACGTGTGTGGGGAACATTTTCACCCTTATATGAAACTCCCGATTAATTCCTACTGAAATCACTAGATTTCACCTGCAAAATTCTGCAGAGCAATGGTAAATGTGACTGTGAATCAGAAGAATTAAAAAATTTGGTTTGCATTAACTGCATGGACTATTTTCATCTTAATAATACATTTGTTTATTATGAACAAGCTGCTTTTAACTTCACTTGTGGATTATTGTGATGTTTTTATCAGCTGTTTGGACGCTCATTCTGACGGCACCCATTCACTGCAAAGGATCCATTGATGAGCAAGTGATGTAATGATACATTTCTCCAGATCTGTTCCGATGGAGAAACAAACTCACATAAATCTTAGATGGCCTGACGGTGAGTGAGTAAATGTTCAGCAAATTTTTATCTTGGGGTGAACTATTCCTTTAAGTTGCTCTTTGATTATTGTATTATATGGAAAAGAACAGCATGAACATTCATTCAAAATTTCTTCTTTCGTGTTTGTCAGAAGAAAGAAAGTGAAATATTTATGAAATGACCTGAGGGTGAATAAACAATGATGGGCTTTCATTCTGGGGTGAACTACTCATCTGAAAATGACATCTGACAGTTTTTTTTTTAGAAAATTGATTTTATTGTCTGTTTGACTCAATAAGGAAAGTAAATATGGTTTGAGTGTGATATAGACAGTACAAAGTGTCAATCCTACCTTCTCCATGTTAGGTTTGATGCAGCGCACAAAGAAAGGGTTGGAGGCACTTAAAGTGGCCATCAGTGCATGAAGAGAGTCCTGAAACACACAGTCACAATAACACTAAATTACACCCTTGCACAGGAAAGTAACAGCACCAAAACTGCCGTTCAGCAACCACAGTTGCTATTTGCTTGTCCGTCCCACATCTCCTGTTGAGGAGGGCAGTGACAGGGCAAGTATTTACCCAGTAACACCAAGGACCCTTCAACCTGGCACTCTGTCCCACAGTCTTAGACTGAGAGGCTCCAGGCCGGCTTTAATGACAGGGGAACAGGGGAACATGCATGGACCCTGTCAAACCCTTGTGCCCGGTTTGTGGGTAATCCCCTGGCTTTGAGAGCCACAGTACAGGGGCAGCTGCCAAATCCCCTGCACGGCAGTTATGACATGTAAAGCCCCGTAACCCTGCAAACGGGCAGATATACAGGGACACAGACAAAAGGACTAAACACACACACGCAAGGTACACATACAGTCACACAAGTGCAGAAAAATAAATGAACATTTCTGCTAGGTTTTCACTCATATCCTGGAATGTCCACCCAAAATATTAAGCCCACACATGAGAACAGAACACCCATACAGTATATTATCTCTGTTTCAAAACTTACTGAGCTGCCTCACTGACTACTGTCCACAAACTCTGTTGAAAAAAACAGCATATGCTGGTTAGGTATGTTTTGAAGCACGGCAGCTAGTTTGAGCTGGTTTAAGCTGGTCCTTAGTTGGTCCTGAGCTGGTTTAAGTTGGTCCTGAGCTGGTTATGAGCTGGTTTAAACTGGTGCTGGTCCTAAGCAACTAGCTCCTGCTCAGGACCAGCTTAAACCAGCTGCCATGCGTCAAAACATACCTAACCAGCATATGCTGTTTCTTTCAACAGAGAAGGCAGCTATCATTTAAGGGAGCATCGTAACTGTCATGAAACCCAGTAAATTACTGATTTTGAGCATTTTACATAGGCTGCAATTCCTCGTTTCAAACAAAAAGGACTTCACACACGTGTGACTTAACAACTGATTTCAATAGAGTGTAACAGTGGCCGACCACTTTTTTAGCAGCCTTGGTTCCGGATTTTTCTTTTCTTTTTTTTGGTCTGTCTTTTAAGGGTTAACAGTCAGGGTCATTTAGACTGCTGCACTCTATAGAGTTTGATGATCTAATGGCTCAATACTCTTGTCCTGATTCTTTCAAAATATAGTTTCACACAGTTGTATAAAAACATCAGATGGTGCATTCAGATCATTGACTCTGTGTCTTACCCTGAACTGAGAGCTGACGGTGGGTTTGCGGCGGGCAGTGCCCATCTTCAGCGTCTCATCTCCATTCCTGCTACCAACCCGCTCAAACAGGTCATAGATGAAGTCAAGCCTGAGAGACACATAATATAGAGACAATATCACTCACAAACATCATTCATATCAGCAGAAATGTAGATCAGCAACAACTGCTTCAAAGTTTGAACCAGACTGTGTGTGTTTGGAGTCTGCCATCTCTGATGTCAATTAAATGCATTTTAACTGTACTAAATTTTGGCAGACCTTATAAATTCTTTCCAACCTCACAAATAATGCACCACAAAACCAATACTGTAAAACATATTCTCTACATACCTGGCGAGACACACTATAAATTCTAGGCTGTATTTTAAAAAAAGTGTTTGTTTCTCTAATACAGGCAATTGTTGACAGTGTGGTTATCGTTTACTAATAGTAAAACTATTAAAAATTTCTTATGAAATAAAATTTAATATAAATAGTAACCTACAAAAATTTAAATAGAAAAAATATATAAAAGCTTTAATGGAAATTAGAAATGTTGGCTTGGTAACAAACTAAATTTAGCTGAAGTAATAAAATTAAACTTCACTAACTTACTAAAATTAAAACTGAAATACAAATAAGCTAAATTGAATATTTAGAAAAAAATTACAATCACACAGAATTGCTAAAACAAAATATAAATTCAAAACAGTAATAAATATTAAAATAGAATATAAATCATACTGAAATAACACTGCTTGTTGATGTAATTACCTCTCCAGCATAATGTTTAATACCAAACTGGTGATCTGCCACTCTTGGTTTCACATAGTAAGGGTTTGTCTGCCGAGACAGAAACACATAACACATTATTTCATATTGATTATATTTTGCAGTGAGCACACACAGAGGTACTTCAGTCGAGGCAGACTGTATGTGGGTTCTCCGAGGACACACTCATTGTTCCTGCAGCCTGAGTAAAGCCTGCTCACGTTACCGTATTGTGAATGTGCGTGTGAGAGGCTGTGGGGGTGTGACTGGGTGTTGCCTATTGGCTCAGCGCTGGTCTTTATCAGCGAGTTTAAAGATTAACTCTCTGTGATCTGAAATGAGATGGGGGGAAGAAAACGTGTACTGTATGTCTGAGTGTTTTGAAAAGGAGGACTTACAGCATGCCGGCTATGGAGTTTCTCCAGCAGGGTGTAGTCCGTGCCTTTAGGGAATCTGCTCTCCTCATTGATAAGAGCCAACATGCCCAGTTTCTGAGGAAAGAGCACACTGATCTAAGCACAGGCTCTCTCTGGCTCTCCACATTAACCACAGGGGTCTAGTTTGTAATCGATCAGAGATGTTAATTATAATTGCTTTAACAGTGGGCCGTTATTCATTACTAGTGTCAATACTTTCTCTCAAATTACACAGATATTTACTTGTAATGTTATGTAGCCATTTGTGCAAAAAAATCTCCAAAGGTTCACATCAAGTTGTTTTTCTCAGTGACACCTCAGATGCATTTTTTTTAAAATCATATTTCCCTTTTTAGCCACTTGATATGGATGCCCTGTTAGCATATTAAGCACCCATACATCTTTTCAATTTCAGCTGGAACATGCAATTCTTACTGCAACATAATATGCAATAATTTGCAATCTCAATTTTGCATTCAGCAGATGTTTCTACACTTTTTTTTTTGTACATGCAAATTCACTTTTTTAGGATGTATAGTGGATGCTTGTACAATTATAATGTGAAACTTTCCAGACCTCTTAGAGATTTACACTACAGTTCAAAGGTTTGTGTCAGTAAGATTTTAATTTTTATTTTTTGAAAGAAGTCTCTTATGCTAACCAAGGCTGCATTACTTTGAGCAAAAAGACAGTACAAAACAGTGAAAAATTATTAACATTTAAAAGAACTGTTCATATTTTAATGTATTTTAAAATGTAATTTCATTCTGTAATGGAAAATCTGAATTTTCAGCATCATTACTCCAGTCTTCAGTGTCACATGGTCTTTCAGAAATCATTCTAATATGCTGATTTCGTACTGACTTCAAAATTTTGAACTGTAGTGTATGTGCATTAATACAGTCAGTAAATATTAAAAAATAAAAGTAGTAAGTAGTGTAAACGATGCAGAGGGCAGGATATGATGCAGAGAAGAGACAGCAGCATCACCTGCATGAGCATCACGGTTAAATTAGACATGGACCCCTATTTGTTTACAGTTTTTAAGACCAACTAAGTCTGCAAATCTCTCTGGAAATCCAATGACTACTGGAGATGATAGTTTGAAATTATGAAATTTCTCACGTGCTATCAACGTTGGAATGGTTTCTAAAGAGCACTGTGTGGTCACAGTGAGAGCTGATTAAAGGTCAAAGGTTAAAAGGACACCTTTTCGATCAGATCCAAACACTCTGCGTTGTCCATCCAGTCGATGGCTTCCCAGTGTATCCCCTCCCTGTGTGGAGACACAAGAGAACCTCTTGAGCAACATCACAACACTACAAGTACACAAAGGTGGTATTATCCTCAGGGTTCATGTGATGAAATGAGCTGTGTCCGGGCTCTGCTGACCCCCCTCAGCCATCACATTTCAACAAGAACACAACTGTGTGGGAAAGAGGAGACCCATTCACACATCTGGCAGAGTGCCTCCATAGCCACTACAGCAAGAACAGGCCGAGAAACCCCTGCCTTTACTTCATCTGCTATCTCTCCATCACTCTGCCCTAAAAGAGATCGCAGGACCGTCCATGTCCTGTACATCATGATGATCACGTACACGTTGCAACTCCACCCTTCTATGCTATTTCACCCCGTTGTGACCTGAGCTCTCTGTGACACCTGATAGTGTGAAGCTATGTGTCTACAGACCATTACCGTACACTCTGGGTTTCATGCAAAGATTACATGTCCTGATGATGTTGTAACTGTGAGGATGTAATGTACGCAGAGATGCACACACACACACAAATGCTCAAATGTGCTGCAGGTGTGCAGTCCAGTTGTATACACTTATTCTTAATTACTGTTGTTCAGGAAAAGACCTCAGTACTCAAGGTGTGTTGTTATTAGCTACAGTATAACTAGCTATAATGTTAACTACGGATATATTGATCAGAAAGATTCACTAATATTTATAAAAGCTTAAAACACATTATGAGAAAGTATGTGACAGAAACTTTCCTAACTCCGCAAGTTTGTGTGTTTGTGTTATAAAAATGTCTGAACAGCATTAGCGTAAACATTAGCATAAAGTTATCTCTTCTACAGTTGGCTTTCTTGCTATAACATGGCATTAGCATAAAATGTCATATTCTGCAGTCACTTCGGGTGAACTACTGTCATGGTAGAGCAACCGTATGAAATAGCCAAGTTAATATTTTGATAGCTAGCTTAATAATATCACATTTAGTTTAAGTACACAGACATTTGATATCCGCATGCTAATATTCAGTTAACTAGGAATAAGCATGTTTGTTCTTTAAGATGCCCAAGGCCTGAAATATACTTTGAAATGTGTCAGAACACAATTCATAACACAAATCTTGCAATTGCATTCTTAGAGTGGCCACAAGGGGCGCACAAAGCGCTGTCGTTTTCCACAGTCATATTTCTCTTTCAAGTCACTAAGCAAACGGTATAAAGACAATCTTGTTGATCATGTTAGTTTGATTTTAAAGTAATTGAAATATTGCTCCCCTCGAGTACAAAAGTCTGTTATGGACACAGTAGCACAGGTACACACAAAGAGCAGGCAAAAAGTATTCTAATGACTTACTACAACCACCAAGATTCTGAAGTGGGCATCTGATGGACACTTTACTTTCCCATGAGTCCAGTCTACTGTTGTACATATGGATTTGGTCTTATGATCATGCATAAACCTAATTTAATCTAGCAATATGGAGTATGGAAGACAGTGTTGGACTATCTAAGCTGGTTTCTGATGCAAAATTAGGTCAAAATCTGATAACTGAAGCACTTTTTGCTGAGAGATCTCTTCCAGGGATAGGGTTTCAGTGCTAACCAAGGTCACTGAAAGGACTCACCTGTTATATTCAAGCTGCTCCAGGGAGAAGATGTGCTTGTTGAAGTACTCCTGGAGCTTCTCGTTGGCATAGTTAATGGTGAACTGTTCGAAACGGTTCACCTGGAGGGGGAAAAAGTCATAAAAACATGACAACATGCCACTGACAGAACATTTCACCTCTCTGTACTCAACAAACTCTTTTACCTCAAAGTTCTCAAAGCCAAATATATCCAAAATGCCAATGGACTTGAAGTTGTCCTTTCCTTTGATTTTCTGGTTAATTCTGGTGATGATCCAAGAAAAACACTGGGAATACAATGCCATGGCCACAGAGTCCCGGGAATCAATTGCCTTGGAAAGCAGGGCAGAGACAAATATGAATCTAGAGACATTTTCCTTTAGTTAGCCTCCAACATTGCAATTTAAAACCACAGTGTCAACAAGCAATGTCTCAAGAGATTATTACAAAACACTAATATATCTGAATTTCAAAATTCACAAAGTTCACTTTATCGGCCGAATCTGCAGGGTTGTTACTCTCTGTAATTGTGCATCTTTAAACATGTGAAGTTTGAAAACAATGGATGTCTTTCCTGATTTATTGCCGAGATTGAAAACAATACAGTGGCCCCAATAAGTATTTGGACACTTAAGCCATATTTAAACCACCCAATCCCAACAAAGAAGTCTGTTTTTTTAATTATGCTCTGTTTTTAATTATGCTCAAAAATTAAGGGCAAAAAGTGGTGCATGTGGAACATGTTCATGTTAAATGTGATAAACTACACTGGTGCAAGACCACAGATACAGACTATGAGAACTGACTTTACGCAGTACGACCACTAAAATTGGCCTTCCAATTAATTTAGTAAAAGTGATGAAAAGTGTGGAAGCTCGTGAGAAATATCTGCTTCTGGAGTTTCAGTTCAACTCATAAACCCAGCAATAACCCTGGGCTGCTATTACTGGAATACAGAAGGAGAGAAAGGTAATACCCACAAATTAGCCTCTGCTATTCCTAAGAACGCCAAACTCCCGTCTATTGTTTCAGCAACACTATAATTCATCAGTCAGAGACACTTCTGCCTGATTCTGAACAGTGTGCTGGCTCCATCAGAAAGACCTGAAAGAATGGCTGATTGTGCATGATACGGCGAATGGCAGCTGTTGAGGTCCTGACCACTGTGTTAATGCATTATGAGGAAAGGAGGAGGAGGAATAAGGGCCTCCATTAAGACGTGGCACTGCTTTATGACCACTGACACAGGCTGGAGTTAGTGGCCATTGTCTTGGTTCATAAAAAGATTGATTGTGTTTCTACCGAGTTGGTCACAAAGGCCAGGGCCTGTTCTATATGCTAGATGCGATTTATGGGTTAATGTAGGTTGGGGTCTCTTTATTCTTGGCATGCACATCAGTCTTTCTCTTTTTCATAAACCAGTTTCAAATTACAAAAATCAGGCCTTTGATTTTTGTTCACTTGAACTTTCATTGCGGGAAAGAGGAATTCTTAAGAGTACATTTTGAAAGCATTGCACTAGTGCTGAACTGACTGTTTCTTGTGTTTACTGTGCATATTTGTGTGATAGACTGCCCCCATTAGGCAGCTGCTAACCACCGTCTCCACACTCGGCCTCCATTGTGTTGCTTCGCATGAGATCTTTATCACTGAGTTATTATAGCAGGAATCCGAGGGGACAAAAAACAGGAAACGGTACCAAGTCACGCAAAGACGCTTTCTACACAGGCGTATGGGTGTGAGCATGTTTTTTTAATGACAGTCTGTCAGTAAATCTGGGGTGAGTCTGGGGATGCAGGGAAAAAGGAACATGTCTCTGGACACACTGAGGGCACAGCACAGACATGCCACTACATGATACAACATGACGGCTAAAGCAAACCAACCAACCAACAAACCAAAAAAAAAAAAAAAGTGGTTTTTGAAACCACTGCCTAAAACATATGCCAAAACTGTAAATAAGCCAGATTTAAATAGACAAACACATAAATATATCTTATTTCTAGACATGCCGGTGCACTATACAACATCATAAAGAAGGATGGATGTCCTGGTTCCTTACCTGTTCCACAGTGAGGGGTGAGCAGATCTCTTCTCCTCTCAGGATCATGGACCGCTGAGTCAGAACCTCAGACAGCTGAAAGGAGTCGAGTCCCAGCAGATCACTGACGACACTGACCACTGTCATTCAGATAAACACACTGCATAAGCCTTCACAACTGTGAAAAGTGTGTATGCACAGACACAGCAGTTAATGATTCTCTTCAGAGGCCATCATTACAATGTATGTATATATGTGAGTGTGTGTGTATGCATGTATAGACACACATAAAACCTCCATGATATAAGTCTATGTAAATATGTTACATGTGTTCAACAGTTTACAGTTTGAGTTTGCTGATATGATATTATCCATTATTTTTGTATTGGATGAGAAATAAATGTACATTAATTGCTTATCCAAATTTCAAATATTGACTTTCAAATTGAATTTATGTCTCCAGCATATTTTTGGAAATAACTGGACCCGATTTCACATTTCAGGATGCATCGAAATCATAAGGTAATCAAATCATTGTAATCAACCCTACTACAATTCAGTAGTTTGGGGTTTGGGTTTTCTTTTTTCTTTGTAGTTGCATTGAAATAAGCAACCAGTAAAGCTGGTTGGGAAAAAAAGCTGGTTGGAAAAAAAAAACTGATTTTCTTTTTCCTTCTTTCTTTTTTTTTCTAATCAGCAGACTTCTGGAACTGCTCCAGCATTAAGGCGAGTTAGTGAGTTATCACCCATCTGAAGTGCAGTTATCAGAGTGAATACTGACATGTTGTAGCATGCCTCTACACACTCTACTCAGTGAAAGCCTGTCAGATAAAATATAGGCTGATATTGTGTGCCAGGGCTACAGATGGTATTTAATAGGTCCTTCCACTAAGATAACTATTAAAAAAAGCATGTATAGCATGCTAGGTATGCTTCTGAGAAATGCTGATCTGCCTCGAACCTCCTTTAGTGGTGATCTGAGCACCCCCTGCAGTCATGAACTCAATGTTGCCGATCTGTAAGACCCCAGAGAGCAGCTTGAAGACATCACGGATCTCTTCCTCAGTGAATTCCATCACCTTCAATGCTTCCTACAGCCATTAAACAGAATAAAAATATCAGCATGCTTTATTTGACAGATATTTGACAGCTGATATTGAATTATTAAGGGAAAGAGAGGAGGAAATGGGATCCTGGATACATTATGCATTATGCATTATGGGGGGGGGGGGATAACTCAGAATAACTCGAGTTTAATTAGTTCTACCTAATTCCTTTTTAAAGAGTACGGAAAAGAGATGATGTGATGCCCTCTAGTGGACCCTTTATTAATGCCCAGTTGCATGGCATTAAAGAGATAGCTCACCCAAATGTGAAATTTCTGTCATTTACTCACTTTCATGTTGTTCCAAACCCATAAGACCTTGGTTAATCTTTGAAACACAAAATAAGATCATTTTAATGATGGTAATTAAACTTATGAGGTTTATGTTCCTCCACTGAAAGTCTAGGTAGTCAAAACAATTTTAAAAAGGTTATAAAGTTGCTGTAAAATGAACCTACAGTATATAATTCAAACTGAAAGTCTTGTGAAGAGTTGCAATTGCTTTAATCATTAACAGATTTAATTCAGTCTTCTTTTCACATATAAACGCACACGTAGCAAACAGAGTAACACTGACTTGGATTAAACTGCTCTATTCATGTGGATTCATTTTAAAACCTGGTTTTTATTATATAGTTTTTATTACCTGGTCAAACTCTCAGATTTCACTAAAAATATCTTAATTTGTGTTTCAAAGATTAACCAAAATTTGGAAAAGGCTTGGAATGCAATGAAGGTGAGTAACGTTTAATTTTTGGGTGAAACGTTCCTTTAAACTCTGTGTGCTCATGAGAAAAGTAACTGTCTTAGAGTCAAGAAAGCTGTCAAACATACAGTATTGACTCACCATCACACTATCATAGAGGTGTTTGTCATCCAGGCTTCTGTCTTTCACACAGCCGGACTGGTTGAGGTAATGATAAGCCTCAGGAGAATCAGCCAGCATGTACATTTCTGATGAGAACACAGGGTTAATCCATACCGCAATACAATGGCCAAAGAGAAAAACAAAGATTCGGCTTGTGTAAAGGTGAAGTGTGTAACTCCTGTACCACCAAAACAAAAAATTGAAATAATGCTAAAATCTCACCTCTGTGCTCATACTTAGCACCTGACAACAATGCATAGAAAATATGGTAGTTCCTCTCTCCCGGATTCTGCCGCACAACTCGATTCTGAAATGTAATGACATTTATAAAGCACAAAGCATTTAGTATAACTGCTTAAATGCATGGCTATAAACAGTCATAATTTTTATATAATCAGTTATACTTGAAATAATAATAATAAAAAGATACCTTTTCAAGTAAATAATCAATAATACAGCCGCCCTGGATATTTCCACTCTGAGAGAAGTGAAGCTGAATGAACTTGCCAAAGCGACTGGAGTTGTTGTTGTAAACAGTTTTTGCATTTCCAAAAGCCTCCATTATTGGACTGGAGTGGAAGAGAAAGACCAGGTGTTAAGATGGACAGAAATACAACAAAATCTGTAAGAACAGAGTATGTGTGATAGAGCATATATGACCTGCTCTGTACGATGGCCTGCTCTACTCTGGTGGTCCTCTCTGACAGCGGAGAGCCTGTGGAGTTCTGACTCTTGACAGACAGGAACTTCAGCAGCAGTTTGGTGCTTTCTGTTTTCCCAGCACCACTCTCTCCACTGAAAATGAATACACACAAAGCATACATAAAACACATTTTGTCTGTGTTTTTTTGTTTGTTTTTGAAAGAAGTCAATTATGCTACTTTTATTTGATCAAAAATACAGTAAAAATAGTAATTAAAATAATTACAGCTGTTGTATTTGAATTTATTTCTGTGATGGTAACGCAGAATTTTCAACAGTCATTACTTCAGTCTTCAGTGTCACATGATCCTTCTGAAATCATCCTAATATGCTGATTTGCTGCTCAAGAAACATTTCGTATTATCAATGTTGAAAACAGTTGTGCTGCTTAATATTTTTGTGCAAACTGTGATTGTTTTTGTCAGGATACTTTGATAAATAGAAAGTTCAAAAGTATTTATTTGTAATATGAATCTTTTGTAACAATAAATGTCTTAACTGTCATTTTGAATAAATTTAACACACACACACACACACACACACACACACACACACACACACACACACAAATTTCCTCTCCACTGTTCTATATGCGGTTCGCTTAGGGCTGTGAAATCTCTCACAATACTTTTCATTTTCTACAATTTGAAATTTCCATTTAATATGACCAAATACAATGTGTTTCACACAGTACTACTGGGCAACTGGAACAAACCCATCATTACAAGTGCTCACTTTAGAGGTCTTCTGATTCCAAGCTGCCACTATAAGCAAATAAAACGGACCTCTGGCCTCCATGCCAAGATGAGTTATGCAATAAACCTTGCAGTATATATCAAACATAAACTATTTTTACATTCAGTAGTCACACTCTGATTGTATTACAGTCCTATGGAACAGCAGATGTCCAAAACACCCATGTGCATCAGTCATCTTGTGTACATTTGAAAGGCACAATTCACCAGCAGCAGTCTGGTGAGCTTCAAATGAAGAGGATCTGATTAATCGTCCATTAAAATTATAATTCAACTCCATTCAAATCAGATAATTCTCAATGTGATGTGATGCCTTTAAAGGAAGCAAACTAGCAGGACGTTACCTGATGAGCACACACTGACTGCCGTGTCTCTTCCACAGACAGCGGTAACACTCATTGGCCACGGCAAAGATGTGTGGAGGTAGTTCACCCAGGTGATGTCTACTGTACACATCCACTGCCTCGACGGTATACAGACCTGGTATCTGCTTATAAGGGTTCACGGCTGCCAGGATGGAGCCAATGTTAGTCTGTAAGGTAGAATGTATGATAATGAGAACATACAAGTTTGATCTTACACTTTTTTTACATTTGATGTTAAACACAGTAAAAACATTGAATGCTCAGCCTTGGAAAAAAGAATCCATGAAAGTATTTTGTATTGTATCAATATAATGGTTCAAAAGTTTCCAAGTGTTGATGAATGTAGTTATTTCTATGAAACATGGTAATAGCATGCTTTGTCATAGATGCATGGATTCTACACACTACATATTTCTGCAAAATTCAAATGCCTGTCATTCCCAAAGTTCTACAAATCCCCTGACAACTGCATGTTCATTTTTGTCTAATCTAATAATGCTTTTAGCTACCAATATGCATGTTTAACATGCTAATTCCAGTATATGTTAAAATTCATTTAGACAATTCAGGAAATAGTAAAGCAAAATGATAATAAAAACTATCAATACATATGAATAAAAAAAAATCTAACTTATTTCCATAAAGCATGAATGCTATTTAGTTACAGACAGATACAATTATCATAAGATGACATGTATTACAAAACCATGTAACCACCATGTAATTTTATTTTTTCTAAAAATTTGGTAAAAATTAATTCTATAAAAAATACCATCAGAAATGTATTGGGAAGAAGAAAAACAAAATAGATATCCATCAATATTGTTGCGAATCATCATCAGAGTCGGGATCCATTTGCAGTGTTTTTATTGCGTAAACAGACAAGACAGGGTCAATCACCAGTAGATACAATAGCGAGGGCTAGGCTGAGACAGAACGTGGGACGGGCAGGAGGTCGAGGCAGGCGGCAGACAGACACAGTAGAAGAACAATCCAAGTCAGGGCAGGCAGAGACAGATCAGAGTACGATAAACAGTCCAAAGTCAAATGAATAGGCAAGATACAGGGAAAACGCTCAGAAGTGACAGCCGAGGCTTCGCAGTGAGTAGCTGTGAGTGTTTGGCTTATATGTGTGTGTGCGTGATTCAATGCAGGTGTGTGTGTGCAATCAGTCCCAGGTATGAGGCATGATGGGAAATGGAGTCCGAATGGATGAAGTCAATATTCAGGAGAGAGTTCCCTCTGGTGGTGAGGAGGAGGCGGTACGGAAGCCTCCTCTGTAACAAATATGTGCTCCATTTATGCTTGTTGTCATTGTTACATGGGAAGTTCTGCACAGCTTTAAGCTCAGATTAAACACCATTAAAGCTTCATAGAATATAGTTCTTTTGAGGCACAAGACCTCTCAAAGCACAGATTGTTCCATTGTTTACACAAAAACACTGCAAATTCCAAATTCCTATTTGAATGTAATGAAGAGAACTAGTGTGTGTGTGTGTGTCTGTGGACTTGACCATATTTTGGGGACACATTTGTACCCAGAAGTGACCTAAATCTGATAAACCCTCTCCTTGGGGGAAGTACTCATTTGTAAAAAACATAAAAATTAAAGTAATTAAAGTTTTTTTTTTTTTTGTAAAAATGCAGAACTTTTTCTGTAGGGTTAGGGTGTGGATTAGGTTACAGTGTTTATAACCAGCTGTACATAAAAACAAAATAAGTCTATGTAGGTCTATTTTCAAATATGAAACTTACATAAATGAGGTCCTTCTGGTATCGCAGGGAGAGGTTGTGCATGATGGCGGCCTCGTGTAACTCGGCCAGAGTGGACATGTCCTCCACTCCACTGATGCTGGTGGGATGCATGGGGAAAACCTTGAGCCTGTTCACCTCACCCTGATCCAGAGTTATCACCTTCAATACACAAAATCACGCATCCAATGTGATTATGAACACACACTCTACAGGGCTGTCATCAGAGGAGCAACTGGGAACATTACTGCTTTCAGATTAACCAGAAAGTATACAGGTCAATGAACACATACTTGACATAAATAAATATACATTCCCAAACGGCACATCAGGAATCTGAAGTGTGAAGAAATTAGCTGTCATTTATGCTGCTATGAATCAACAGTGCGCTCAGGCAGGGCTCATTTACAGTAGTGTATGTGTGGGCCTGTAGCTTGATTTACTAATGTGTCCGGACCTGCTCCATCTTTCTGCCAAGTTGTTTCACATTCCTGAAACCATACCCCCATGACATCCTCAGAGCACTGCTTTCACTTTCCCTGTCCTGAGCACTTCTTTCACGATCTGTCCTCAGAAATCCTTGGACACACTTTTTTGGTGAGAAATCTATTTCATGGGTGAAGTTACTGTATTCTGCCCCCCAAGCTTCTGTCAGGACCAACAGCACTCGTTCAGGATACTTTTCACTTTTCATTCAGGTCCACTCACCAGGGATGCCCCCCTGAGTCCAGTTCTCTTTGCCATTGCTATTGAGTCCCTCTCTAATGCACTGTCTGACTCCTCTATATTGGGCATAAAAGAATGGATACAGAACAAAAGGTGCCATTGTATGCAGATGATCTTCTCCTCTACATTTCAGATTTGGGCAGGTCAATACCTGTAGCTCTGAACATTTTTAAATAATTTGGGCTGATTTCTTGTTATAAGTTAAATATGAGCAAGAGCAAGATTTTTCCTCTAAACTCTGCAGCTAGGAACTACCTGTTACATAACTTTCCATTTAGGATTGCACAGCATAGATTTACGTATCTTGGAGTTTGCATCACGGATCAATTTGAAGAGCTCTATAAATTTAACTTTGCTAATTTGCTACTCCAAATGTTGTTGTTGTTTTTTTCTTTTTGGTTAAGAGTTGCTGTTTATTTATGTAGAATGTAGGTACTTCTATTTTACTTTCTCCTACCCTTTTATTTCATGTAGAATGCTGCTCATGCATAATTTTTTAACATACGATAGATCCTTTAATTAAATATATAATTAAATATATAAAATGTGTAATATAATAATATGACAGAAAAGCTAAATAGAAATATTTACAACAAATAAAAGTAAAAAAAGCACATAAAAATATCAAAACAATAAAATTTAAATTAAAACTGGAAATCTAAAAATAAAAGTTAATTCAAAATATATTTAAAAAAAAATCTTAATTACTTAAATGTGTGTGTTGAATGTGTTTGGATGTGTCTTTTGATGGATGTAGTTCACAGTTTTTCTTGTAACTGAGATGGATGATAAATCCATTAGCAAAAAGTGCCACTAAAATTGAATGATGTCATACAATAACAATCTTATCATTGTGGCTCGTCATGCCTGTCTCCAGATAGATGAGCTTAATTGATCAGACATGACAGGAAGGAAACAGCCCTTTGACAGAATACCCGCCCCCATCTGTATGGAGATTCTAACACCTGAGGTTCTGTTCACCAAATAAATGCAGGTGTGAATCTAAGAACAAGTTTATCATTAGTTCATTCTAGAAAGCACTATTATAATGATTCATTCAAGTATAATGAAGTCATTGATGCAAAAGCAGAGCAGCTCATAGCTGTGTGAATGTGTCTCAAAGTTTACGTTATCGCTGTGTGATGCCTCGACCAGGAATCTGCTCTTTATGGGTAATTTCTCAACACAGCAGGCCGCCAGACACGGGTCAAAGTTCACCCACAAAATACATGAGTTCGAGCCATATGATCCACTCACAAACATCCAGCACAGAGGTTAAGGATGTTTAAGCAATAAAACATTCCTGCTGATCTAGAGACAAATTCCCCAAATTCCTGTTCATGAGATGCTCGCTCCCACCACTAAGGCCAAACAAAAAGCTTGGAGGTTGGAACAAGACTCGGTACATACAAAAGGGGAGGTTAAAAAAACATGACAATAAATATGTCTCAATCAAACATTCACAGGAGGAGAGGCAGGACTGTCATTACGGGTGGGTGACCAGCAAATTGGGCCCTGTGGTTGACTTGAGTGTACGGGTGATGGCCTATCTATAAAAATTGTATCCCATATATCCCATGAATTCAATCAAGAGCCCTGATTATAGGGTCTCTTCAATGGTTAGTCCACTTTAATATGATTTTTTCACCACTTAGATAACTGCCACTATAACTAAAACTATAACAACCCTGTTTATAAATTGTATTGAAATGTTTTATTGTTTTATATATTCTAATATGTAAACCACCATTCAAAAGTTTGCGGTCAGTAAAAAAAAAAAAAATAATAATTATATATATATATATATATATACAGTATATATATATTCAGCAAAGATGGCTTAAACTGATCAAAAGTTACAGCAAGGACATTTATGATGTTACAGATTATTTCTATTTCAAAAATACGCTGTTCCTGAAAAAAAGAATGGCAGTTTCCACAAAATTATTAAGCAGCACATCTGTTTTCAAACCAAATCAGCATATTAGAATGATTTATGAAGGACTATGTGACACTGAAGACTGGAGTAACGATGCTGAAAATTCAGCTTTGCCATTAAATTACATTAAAAAAAATATTGAAATAGAAAACAATTATTAATTAATTAAAAAATAATTAAAATTATCATCATTTTACAACATTACTGTGTTTACTGTATTTTTAATCAAATAAATGCCGCCTTGGTGAACATAAGAGACTTCTTTCAAAAACGTTCAAAAAATCTTACCAACCCCAAACATTTGAATTAATATATTTTATAACATGACCTTTATTCAAACAATGAGACTCATAAGTCTGATAATTTGGCTCTCAAAGCAGCATGTCATAATGCCTCATCTGACTGTCCACTGCCTTTGTGTCGCTGTGATCTCACTGATGTCAGGCAATATATCTGATCGTGTGACACAATTAGAGGGACGTAACAACTGACTGAGCAGCATGGCAGCTACAAAGTAAACAGTGAATAGGAAAAATGGCCTACAGCGCAGGTGATCATTTAAAACATAATGCAAGCTATCATAAAAGAAAATACCAGTGCTGTCATTTGTTCTGAGCTTATTCTAAAGCAATGATAACAGACCATGCGTTACAAACTGCAACTAAATTGTCATTATATTTGTGAGAATATTTCAAGACAGTAGTAGAGTGTATTTAACATCTATGATCATCTATTCGCCCTAGGTTATAGTAGCCTGCTGTGCTCAGCAAATTGACACATGGCAAGGAGTCAGCTTTTTATAGTGCCATTAGCACATTACAGGCATTCAGACAGGACAATGGGTGACAGTGTTGACAGCGTGCCAGGCAACAGGAACATCACCTCTGGTTGCTAAGCAATGGACCATCCTTGGGAGTATTGGGAATCCTGATGATGTGGTCATCAATAAAACATGAAGAAAAAACAACCAGTGCAGTCAGTTTGAAAAATTATGCCCTGTGCTGGATAAATAAATGGAATTTCCTAGAGTTATTATTTGTGTTCCAGTATGCAATCACTGGTAAGACACTAAATTTCCAGTGGTTTAGCGGAACTGCTTTCATTGTCCATGCAGGTTTATCTCTCTTCCTCAGCAGCAAGACTTCCTCAGTGATTATGCATCAGGAATTATTGTGAATCTTCATTTCATTTTGCATGACTTGCATGAGCAATGACATATTCCTTCCTGTAAGTATTGTACACTTCAATAAATGCTTTCACAGTCTTCCAAAGTACACATCCAACATCAATGCACTCACATGAGCACCAACACACTCCCCTAAACGTGCATGTGCATGTGAAACCATCTGCTAAATCCATTGATCTAGAGTTATTAAGTACACAATCAATGCTTTCCTAATGTGACCTTTTCACCGAGGGCAGTGCTGCTGACTGATGCACCATTGTGACTAAAACACAGAGAGAGACTATTTCGACTATAGACTATTTTGGAAGGACTGTGTTCAAACTAAGCACAGATACTTTTATGATGTACAAATTAAGCAACTATATTTTGTAATGAGACATCACATCAAGGCACTTGTCTACACTCCTCCATCTAATTAAAATATACCATTGTTGCCTTTATGTCTCAAGCAATACATCTCTTGAATAAAAATTAATAAATTCTAATGGAACTCAGCCTTGTGTGCATATAATTTAAATTATTAGCTGTTAAGTGATTGAAGGTTTGTAATTAAAAGAGTAACTGGCATTTTTGTTTCTCTGTTCTTCTGTGCAAGTGTCCTGCATGAGGCTTTGTGTTTGAAAGACCACACCCTGCTGTTTTATTGAGCATGGCCTATTTGAATATGCATGATGTGGGTGAGGTCTGGAGGACAGGGACGGCCCAGTAGTGAGCAGACACATGGAGGCCAGCTGAAATGGCTATACTCTTCACAGGAAAAAGTCTTCTCTCAACCCATCCGCTGTACCAGCGCTGAGTCACACCCTGCACCTAGCAATCCCAGAAAAACACAGGGTTTGCTTTACAAAACACTAACTATAGACCCAGTGAAAGCCAATAGTCTATAAAATGCTGCTGATAACTGTTAAAAACATTTGAAGTCTTGAGGCTTTATTGAAGCTTTAAGTAAAAACACAGTTAATTCTCTTTTTTACATCAAAGACCGTGACAGATGGATAGATTGATAGATCAGGAATGATAGAATGATAGACAGAACAATGGAATGAACAACAAAACAATCAAAAGAATAACAGAACAAACAACAGAATGAACAATACAACAATAGAATGATAGATAAAACGAATGACAGACAAAATGATAAAGCGATAGAATGATAGAACAATAGACGATAGATAGAATGATACAGAGAATGATGGAATGATATATTGACAAGATTCCTACGCAGTTTGGAAAAGCACGGAAAAGTATGGAATTTGATTTTAGTATTTTCAAGGTCTGGAAAAGTATGGAAAAAATAAAAATATATATTTAAATTACCCCTTTTCTGTTTCTAAAACATAAAATTGAGAATTTCTAAAAATAAATGTATCATACAAGCAGAGTGTTTTTCATGAAAAAGTGTGAAAGCATATCAAACATATATAATACACACACACATATATGTATATCTATATATGTGTGTGTGTGTGTAATTAAAGATGCACATTTAAAATTTTTCACACCATGCCTTTAAAATAGGCAAATTATGGCTTTAAATATGTTTCCTAAATGTGTTTTCAGCAGACGATCTTTCTTACCTCTCCGTAGTCTGTGGTGAGGATGAGGGTCCGGTCATCACAGCAGCTGACGGTGGAGGGCAGGAGCTGCTCCTTAACCCGCACCCACACACGAGCTCCCTAAAAGACAGACAAACAGACCGTATGAGACACGAAATACTGCAAACCATTCAAGAACAGTCAGAGAAAGGCACACACATTAAAGATCTGGCTTAAGACAGACAGACATTTCCTTCCCATTGCGGCTGATACAGAAATTAAATATGTATGTATATGGAGCAGACAACATTTTGTGGTTCTAAAAAGAGCTGAGGACAGAACAAGTTGATACAGAGAGAATATATGTGAGCAATTTCAATTGATCCAATAGCAATCAACGATCTCAACCACAGCCCATCATGGTCTTTCCTTCATCATCATTAATGCACCACAGCCATTCCGTCTCGCTACGCTTTCATTTCATAGACATACAGTGGTGCATTTGACAAGGAAAAAGCTCCCTCCCAATGGGTTTAAATGCACATTGTGGGCACATGGGCAGCACAAAGCACTATTCATGCCAAGAGCACATGCTGCAAACCAAAGTAAAGTCCTTTGGCAGCACCAAACCCTGCACTTGTCTATGTGTAAGAAGTACAGTATGTATAACATGGTTGTTTCCCATGTGAGTGTTATGAAGGGGCCTTTGCTTGTGCATTCGCCACCATAATAGGGTGTTTTGAGTGGATGCCAAGGTGTTGCTAAGTGGTTTCTAGACCCAGCGGTTTCAAGACCCAAGTCAGCTCACTCTGAAATGTAATAGCAACTATGCCTTTAAAGTTAGGCATGTGTTCAAAATCTCTGATGATGAAAACAGCTGCAATGAAAGGGTGGTCTAGCTATGCTTTTGTCTAATTGTGTGGCATCCTTTAAACAAAGCCGCCAACTTCCATGTTTTCAATCGGAAGGCCAAGAATGCAGAAAATGGATATGTAAAAACAGGAAGACACAAGTCCGGCTGCTAAGACCACTAGTCATTTCCTTTTGTTGTGAACCCTAACACTGTCTTAAGGGACGCCAAGGACGATAACGATAACAGTAACTATAACTGTAAAGTTTTAAAAAGTGTTTTAATTCTAGAGGAATAGCCTCTAGAATTAAAACACTTTAACATCAACACCACAACTATAATAATAATAATAATGATGATGCAGAGGAGTGATGTTGCTGGAATCACTTTCAGAACAATTTTTTGTCAGCTGATAATCAATAAAAACATTGACAGCAATCAGCATCCACCTGACTTTAAATAGCTCAAACTTTTAAAGTGGCAGATGACAGAACTGCCGTGCATGCTTATAATAAACAGAATAAACTAAATCTGGGTAGCGTTATCTTTATAGTTATCACTCTTGGTGTGAATGGGTTTTTAGTGTGTATGGTGTGCCAGGTTCTGATGGCCCTAACACTTACACTGACAGGCATAAATCTTCACAGTGCAGCCATTCAGACGGCCAATGGAGTGTTGAGAGAGTAGTTTGTCCAACAGCACATGAGAACCAAAGGATCAATGGTAGCGGCTTCCACCAGGAAACCCAAGCCCCAAGGTCAGAGCTCAGAGACATCAATCCTCATTAATTATTAATAATGACCTGACATGTGCAACACAACTGGGTTCCCGTAGGCAGCATGTGCAGGCAAACACACAATATACAGGTGCATCTCAATAAATTAGAATATCATGGAAAAGTTCATTTATTTCAGTAATTCAACTCTTCAAAATTGTGAAACTCGTGTATTAAATAAATTCAATGCACACAGACTGAAGTAGTTTAAGTCTTTGGTTCTTTTAATTGTGATGATTTTGGCTCACATTTAACAAAAACCCACCAATTCACTATCTCAACAAATTAGAATATGGTGACATGCCAATCAGCTTTGAGTTGAATTACTGAAATAAATGAACTTTTCCACGACATTCTAATTTATTGAGATGCACCTGTACATCCACTCTTTCCAAAGCACACTGTATGAAGATGATCATAGACACGTGATCCACTGGAAAGGAGACATGGATTATAATGAGGCCAAACACATTCAAGGTTTCAAGTGAAGGCATTCATTAAAGGGACAGTTCATCCATAAATGAAAATTCTGTTATCATTTTCTCACAATCATGATGTTTCACTATTCAAACCCATTTGACTTACTACTTACTACTTATACATTCTTATAAATTTCCCCTTTATAAGACGGGAAATTTATAAGAATGTTCATGCTGCTTCTTTCCAAATAGTGATCAAAGGCTGTCAAGCTCCAAAATAAGACAAAAGACACCATTGAAGTAACATAAAAGTGGTAAATGGTGGTTAGATTTCAGTTTGCTCATCACAAAGATATCACATGACATTGTACGACTTGGAATATAGTGTACAAATTGTATGCACTTCTCTGATCATTTTGAGGTGCGTTTTGTCATTTTTGGAGCTTGACAACACCAAGTCACCATTCACTTCCGTGGACCCTTTTCACAGACTGTGGTGATGCATTTCCCACAGTTATTTACTTAAAAAAAATCTATATTTATTCTAGTCTACTGTTTACTACTATAGAATATTGCCATTATGTCATATCTTTTCCATATGTGCCACAGAGCATCAACAGGATCTTTTTCAGATTAAAAAAAAAAAGTCTCAAAGCCTTGCTAAATGTAGCACTAATGCTCAGGGACTATGGGACTGAGTTAAAAGGGCTTGAAGAAAAGAAGAGGTGGAGAGGTTAAAACTGTATGCTAATGTGTTTCCCATTGTTTGATGAGCAGAGGAAGAAAGCTAACATTCAAATTCTCTGACATGTTCAATCATTACACATGCGTGAGACTAAATATGACTATCTCCATTAGTTAATGTGTGCCACAGGCGTTCACTGCCCAAACACAATCAGCTCCAGACAACAAAATACATTTACTTACAGGAATACAATTAAAGCATCTAAAGGGAATCATTTTATTGAGCTGAAATCATGGATTAGATGAGAGAGATCAGCCAGGTCTGTGACTGGCACGAGAGGAAAATTACTTAAGCACAGGGCTCAGAAAAGCTGTTTCACGTGACATGACCGAACTGAATTACATCTGAAGCAGGGTCTACGGATTTAAGATCAGATGCCATTGCTACAAAATTCTCATTTACAGCATTCGCACTTAATGGCACATGGTGCCACTGAATTACTTGTGTTTAATCTCATAGATTAAAGGAACAGTTGATTGACTACATTAAAAGTGGTGGGATTATTCACTCTTCTTTGTGATTAATTGATATAAATTGTTACATCCCATGTTACAATTATGATGTGTTTTGGGTACGGTGTTTGTTTTTTCCTCCCTTTTTTTCTCTTTGTTTTTACTTTTGTTTTCAGCAGGGAGACGCGGGTGCCTGAGTGGTCTAATTCTCTGTCAATCATCAAGATGCTTAGTGACGACAACGCGCGGCTTCACCAATGAGGGCGCGCTATTTGATTATAAAGACTGCACCTGTGCGAGAGGGCTCTTGCACGCTAGAGCACTCGTTTTGTTGTGATGGCACTTGCGTGCTTGTTTGTTTGTTTGTCCTGTACCATCTTGAGGTTTGAGTACTGTTCGTGGTAAAGTCTGTGTTCTTTGATAACTTGGTGAACAATGGCCCATTCGATCTTTTTTCTCTTTGAGGTTTTCACCGTTTCTGTTACATGGTGGTTGAACCAATGTTACTAAACGGGGAAAGAGAAAAAGAACAGGTAAGATATCACGTGATATACATGTGCCACACTGAGTTTTCAATTGTGTATAGAACACTAGGTTAGTGACACGTGCCACCTGATTGTATTTAATTGGTTGGTAGTAAGAGTAGTATATTTAGGGCGTCCTTGACGCTGAAGATTTTTCTTTCTATTTAGGGGTCTGTTTGTGAATATTGATGGTTGAGTTAGATTATAAGTTTTGTTTTGTTCTTAGTAAGATTAGTTATGTTTTGTTTATTTCTTTGATTTGGCACGGTCTCGTTCTTCTTTCTTTTCCCCGTTTATTTTGTGAATCTTTTTGCTTGGTTACAAAGTGTATATAATTTGTAAATTATGTAAATAATATCCTGGGTTAACTTTTATTCCCGTTTTGTCACTGTAATAAACAGACACTTTTGCCGAAGTCAGAATGTGTCGCGTGCGATCGTTTTCCAGTACACGTCCCGTGTTTTGATGTTGCACCCCTTATTTTCCCCTAGATTTAAAAGGGTTTGTAACATAAATAATAAATGATATGGGAGTGAATAAGACCATTAGTGCATGAAACCAACTCAAAAACATCCAAACAAAAATATGACAGTTCACAAAGTTCACAAAATCTTCCATGATGGATAATAATTCAGCGGTATTTACCATAAATAAATGGGTATTGTGGTTTGGTCACTTTAATGATTACTACATATAAATAATAAAATACTGGTATGGGCAGGAGGACTAATGTCTTAACTTCTTCATGATGTAGATAACTGTGGTTCAGACTGCTGAAACCTTTCATTATATGGTAGAAGAATAAGGATTAGCTTTCATGGAATATTCAAGGATAATTTTGATGTTTCCTTAAGGAACGCTCAAATAATTAATGTTAGGCATCATGAAAAAAAAACTAACAAAAAAATTAAACATGACCAGGTAACTTGTCCATATGGTCAAAAATAATATCTCAAATCGGGTGGCTTGTTGAGAGGTATGCAACTATTTTTGGACTAGACTTACGATTTTGCCCAGTGGATGATAAAATCAGTGAAAATTTTCACATATCCTCAGATGTATCTAGGGAGCTGATTATCATAGAAACTAACCAAACAACCACCCTAGCAGTTGATCTTTCACGTCTACAGAGAGAAATACAGCCAAATAACAGATGTTCTCTAATCAAGGACATACAAGGAGTACCAAAACATGTGACTTTTCCCCCATGACCCCATATAAAGGCAGAATGGACATATATAAATTATACTTATAGCATCTGGCCCAGTAAAGCCATTCTGCTCAACAAACATCTTTTTCCCAAAACATTTTTTTACTGCATTACCATGTAATCTTATTTTAAATCATGCTGAAACAGCAACAATGGGTTCTTCCTTGAGGTCCTGTATTTCATATTTATTTTGAGAGATCTCAAAGGAGGAGATGAACAACTCTGAAAGTCTTATAATATCCCCACTATAATGACAACGTTTAAGACCAGACATGTTTCCACTGGCACAGGCCATATGATGTCATCGATTATGTGGTGAGGTTAACAGATTTTCCAGAAGCGAACTCCATGATGCGTGCCTCTGAAAGGACAGCAGTGTAAACCTGCTTTGTGCATGGGCCTATTGTACAGGCAACAGATGGTCACAGAAACACAAGCCTCCACCTCCTTCCATTCTCTCCTCCACTTCCATCATTTCATCCCCTCCTTCCCCCACCTTTCCATCACATCAGCCGTCTCAAAGCAGAATGGTCATGCTCGCGTCCCAGAGGGCAGATGAGCAGAAATCCCTTAACAAAGGCCAGCTGGGCAACTCTGAAGCATGGTTTTGTCTGTCAAGCTGCAGCACACGTGCAAACAAAATAGCTCCTTCATATTATACTGTATAATATTATAGCCGGAGACATTAATCAGCTCCTTTCAGCTGGAACGCCAGTGGATCAATAGTAGACTCACATTCTGCTCTGCTGTACATACATATCTTTGATTTCATTATGACCAATTCATCCGTACATGGGTTTCTTTTTTTTTTTAAAGTTTTGATCTTGTCATTTTTAATCAGAATGTCATAACTCATCTTCTATTGAAACGACAGACTTCTCTCTGGATTCTCCAAACATTTAGTCTGCTTAAAGCCACCTTTTTCTTACAATCGACTGCAAGCTCACATTCAGATCTGCCTTTATCCAATCAACAACAAGCGGATAGAACCTTACACTTTTTTATGTTCCGATAATCTTTCAGAAGTACGTCACAATACGGAAGAAATAATCTGTCATGCTATCAAAAAAAATGAACAAAATTCAAAAGCTCTTAATTCTTAACAGTAACTGTTCACTGTTAACCCAGATAAAAGAGTAAAATGGTCCCTTGGCCATTAATACAGAAAACACGGTTTAAAACGCTCCGTCACTCTGAACCCTCACAAAGGGCTACTATTACCTCTGTGTGTTTAACGGTGCCAAATTTGGAGGAGATTTGCTAATTAATGAGCCTGAAACATTAATGAGACTACACAGTGCAAGGTGGCGTGTCTCTTTCTCCTTGTGGCAGGAAGCCCAAGACCAAGAGTATCAAGTGATCCAATCAAGTCAACAAAAGAAAACTAATCAACGTCCACAAAATTAGATGTTATTTGGCAATTAGTCCTAATTTAATGTTATCCATCGTTTTTTATGTGGCTCTTTTTAAAAAAGTATTGGTTCAGGCACCGGTACCGTTTTAAAAGTAAAAAACAATCGAAAAAAAAAACAATCGATACCCAACCCTACCATTAACACAATTCATGTTGTTTTCACACAATATTCAGTCAATTAACATGTTTCTAAAATGCTTACATTTTCTTTTCACACAAGCTTACCCCATACCAAAATCATGGATCATTCTTATCTTTTTTACAAATGCTTAAACACAGCATGACAGAAATAAAGACCTAATGTTCCAAACTTTAAATATAGAGTAAAGCCTCTACTTCTGCAACAAAAGAGCTGATCAGAATTATTTTAATTACTGATAATTGAGAAATAGCTAATTCAAATCTTAATTAATAATTTCAAGTCTTACATGGTCATGCACAATAAAAAGGCACTCTCTGGATTGGTTTTGTTCAAAACAATACAGAACAACACAGAGAAGCAGAAAAACAAAGAAAATGTCTGGACGAGGGAGAGGAGTAGTTGGACCAGGACTGTCTTGGTTTGGTTCAGCTACCAAATCAGACATCAAGAGACTACAACAGACAGCCAAGACTGCTGAGACGATTATTGGCCCAACCTCCAAGATCTGTACACCTCCAGAGTAAGGAAAAGTGCTAAGAAAATCACTTTGGACCCCACACACCCAGCCCACTCTCTCTTCATACTGATGCCTTCTGGTCTGCGCTACAGACCATCATTTTCTGTTTTTTCTTATATTACTGTTATAATTCCTGTGTATGTCAACACTGTCATGTATCTTTGCACTATGTCCATAATTTCTTCTGCACTGTAAGCTCACGTCGTCAAGTCAAATTCATTGTGTCTGTAAACATACTTGGTAATAAAGCTCTTTCTGACTTTCTGACAAGGGAGAAGGAGAGGTAGGGGGCAAAAGGCAAAGGGCTGTATGTTTTTTTTTTTCACACACAGAAATTGAATTTAGCCAATAAAGCCTTTACTGCAGCAATTCTGTCACTTTTCTTTTACATTCCATAAAGTACTGATGACTCCTTCACTATGTTGTACACATACGATCTAAAATGAATTCACACATTTACACACACACAAAAAAAGTAGAGTTCAGCTGGCTGAATTTTTATTATTATTATTATTATTTTTTTTTTTTAAACGGATCTCATATTATATTTTCTATACAGGTCGAACTGAGACATGACAAGTAATGCAGTTTTTGTAATGCAATTAATTGTTATCATTCTTACAGTCTATGCACTATGATCGACTATATGTTCCTATTGGATTGAAAACCTGTGCCAAGGTTTTGACTGAATGACTCGATTTTGAATCGGGTTTGCTGTGTTTTGATAGAGTTAGTAAATGTAGAAAAAGGTAGTCAGCATTTTGAAACATAGAGTTTGTATTTATTTAACAAAATGTGGTTTTGGCCAGAAAATTAACAATTTGGCTAATTGTGTGATGTAGGTGTGTTGCTGTGTTAAGAGTTTAGAAAAAGTACTTTAAGTATTGGTAAACGCTTATTAGCAATTGAAAAAAAACTGTAAGAGAACTTGTTTCAGAAGAACTCCTGTGGACTTCACAAATATCATTAAGACTCTTTTAGAAAGCAGCTGGTCACATTACATTTCAAAGAGATTTCTGCACACTGTTTAGATCTCAAACAGTGACACTTATTCAGATTATCATAACAATACTGACACCTCCGCTGACCTCTGGCTCTCCTTCAGTGCAGCTGTGCAGATGTGAAGATCTCTTTACATTACTGAGGGCCTCAGCTATACTGAAGAGTAAACTGTCTGATGAAACTCAATACTGACTGACTTTAGACTGCACAGTAACAAACACACATACAATTTAACAAGTCTTGGTTTAATCTGTGAATTGCATAACACTATGCTATAGTTCTTGTAATTATCCTAAGACAGTAATAGAGCAAAAAACAACCATGCAAAACATTTCTTTGAACTCATTCCAGCAAAACCTTTCTCCATCATTAGGACTTCTACTGGTCCAACTGCTCATTTACTGTGCAATATGACAGATGACAGTTCAAAGCTAACAGAAAACTGCACTTTCATATTTAAAATCAATCACAGGAAAGTTTTAAGTTAAGTTGCAGAAACATGTCCAGGATCAGGGATTTGATCTACAGAACAGGGAGTGACGGAAATGAAGAGAAATTGGCCAAGAAATTAGTGAGATTACGGGTTGGTATCTGATTAGATGGACTGAAATTACTGCTGACCTTACAGGCTCAAGTTAAAAGTTTTCCAGATCGACATGTTAAAACAGTGTTGATGTACCATGAAGGGTTGGTTTAG